ATACTTAAAAATCGATTTTTATAATTAAAATAATCGATTAATAACGTTAAATCGATTTTTATGATTAAAATAATCGATTATTATTATTTTTAAATATACTGACTATCTGAACAAATTTTTAATCGATTATTAGGAAGGAAATAATCGATTTTCGGCCACTGTTCATCATCTTCTTCCTCTGTTCAATTTTTAACATTATCATTTTTAATTACCAAACTTCAATTAAATTATATAGGAATGTTCCCCAATGTTCACAGATCATTTTAGAGTCATTAATTTGTAGTTTTAACAACAATTTCTTGGTTTATGATTCTTGGTTCTTCAAACATGTCAAACATAAAACTCAACCAAACGACCGTTTATGAACGTAAAAACGATCTATACGAACATTCTAATCACTAGATATATCTACGGGCTTACCTCGAAGTGTAATGGAGGTTTTGAAGATTTTCCGGCGAAACTTCCGGCGAGGATTGTGGCTATCTCCGGCGATGGGAAGCTCTCTTGACAGCACTACTTCACTCTCTACACTCTCAGCTATTTATTGGAAGAAGAATGGTGAAAAATGGTGATGTTTAGAGAGGTATATATAGTGGAGAGGAGAGGAAGAAAACACATGTTTGGTGACATCCGTTTTCCTATTCTGGCGTCTCGGTGGAGGGAGCGGCGATTGCTAGGATTCCCAGACGCAAGTCCCTGATTGGGACTAATTTGGTCCTAGTCGGGGAACACTTTTTGGTCTAACTTTCTCCGAATTGAAATCTGATTGTACCGTTGCGATCAGACAGTTAAACTCTATCTAACGATATAATTTTTATATTTATTCGTTATACTTTTTCCGACATCATATTTTTGGGTGGTTGACTTTGACAGAGTCAAAATTGGTTTAATTGACCTTTATTCAAGAAGGTTCTCACATTTAATTCATATTATTTATTTCCATGATTTATTTCAATAAATCATTTCAAAGTTCACATTATAAACAATTTTTTCATTTATTCTTAATTTGGGTCTGTACTCAGGTTCCCAATCAAGATCACACAATAAATCAACATGTTGGATTTATCTCTATGAGATTTATCCCAATTATGTTTATTGGATATCAATATATATTTTATTTCAGCCCAACGCCCAACAACAATTTATTTTAATCAAAACAAATTTTGTTTAATTGAATATTTAATTCAATAAATTTTAGGGTATATTTTGGGGCGTTACATATATAGTTTTCATTATTTATTTTTACACATATAATCAAATAAATTGAATTGAAAATAATTTCAGTCAAACCTCGTAAACTGAACTGGGAAGAAAATTTTAAAACAAAGGGAATACTAATTATTACACGAATAATTTATGTTACATTATTTAATGTTGCATATAATTTACTAATAATTACTATTATAAATTATATACATTTAAATAATAATAATGTTACATATCATTGAATAATATTTATTACGGAGTATTATTATTATTTTGAAACAAAATAAAATAAATTATATATTTAAAGAGAAGCAACAACGAATTCAAGAGGTGAACGAACCCACTCTCATATGCTCTAGGGTGAATGAGAAGCTCGCGCTAACAGATGCGTTGTCTCATTAGCAAAACAGAAAACAAAACAAAAAGAAATATCTCTTCTACAAATAGCTAAGAGATTTCTACAATCAATGCATCTGTCACTACTTTACAATCCGTTTTAAGAATAACTTTCTCGCAACCGCTAGTCTTGGTCCAATCTAATGCTTCCTTCATTACCATCGCTTCAGCTTCCCTTGGACCATAGCTACCCGTAACTGATTGATTCCTTGCGGCTTTCATCGTTACGAGCGACAAAGCTCATTCCAATAAGACCATCGATCTACAAGTCCCATTGAGGCATCCACATTAATTTTGGGCATTCCCATTTACGCAACTCCAAAGGATCAATGCTTCTTGGAGCCTGTGAATTAATGTTATCCCACCGCTCATCAAAGTGGCTGTTAGAGTCTATCTCACATCGGAAGTTGAATAAAAAAATAGTCGGTATATAAGCTCTTGAGTTGAACTAAGTAATCAACTGGATTCAATCTTTTAATGTGGTTCAACTCAAATGTCTTATTATCCAATCTAGTTATCTTTATCCCATCCTAAACTCTATCATGATATCAGAGCCAGTTTTAGCCCACCTTATTTGTCAAGGGGGTGGGTGTGTGTTCGAATTGGAGCAGATTGGGAGCCATCCATGACATTGATTCTCCTAATGTCATGGGAAGTGGCCCTATAAGTTATTGTGTTAGTCTCTTGGAGAACAACTTTTGAGCTTACCCCGAAATTAATCTTTTTTGGAAAAATATGCAGGGTGTTGTTGGGCATTCTCAACCGTGGCAGCGACGGAGGGAATCACAAAGCTTACCACCGGAAAACTGATATCCTTGTCGGAGCAACAGCTGGTGGACTGCGACAGGATAAGCCACGGGTGCGACGGAGGGTGGATGGAGGCCGGCTTCAAATACATCACCGAGAACAGGGGCATAACCACCGAGGCCAACTACCCCTACACCAAAATGCAGGGCCCCTGCCAGCAGAGCAAGGCCTCCGCCGCGGCGGCGAGGCTCGGCGGCTTCCAAATCGTTCCCAAGAACAGCGAGGCCGAGCTCCTGAAGGCGGTGTCGCGGCAGCCGGTGTCCGTCTCGATCGACGCTGCCGGGCAGCCGATGCAGTTCTACGCCGGCGGGGTTTTCACCGCCCAGTGCTCGACGCTGATCAACCACGCCGTGACCGCCGTCGGGTACGGGACGGACCCCAACGGGATGAAGTACTGGCTGCTCAAGAACTCCTGGGGACCCACTTGGGGAGAGCGGGGATTCTTGAGACTGCTGAGGGACTCCGGTGTTCCGGAGGGACAATGTGGGGTCGCCACCCAATCTTCTTTCCCTCTTCCTCCTAAGTAATTGTTAAACAAACAAACATGGGAAGCATTTGTTGTTATGATAATGAAAATAAATAAACCAAATTAAACCAGGTGATGTATTACTTATATGAGTATATATGTTTATTAGCTTATCTTTGCTAAAGAGAGTAGTACTAAATCGTTCTCTTCGTATTTTCAAGTAATTAGATCACACTTTTCATTGATTATTAAGATTGAAACTTCTTTCCATCTGTACTGCTGAATTTTCAAAAATGTTGAAGGTCATATCGAGAAAGAATTATGTATATTGTGTGGTTCTCATTAATACAAAGATACAAAGACATTCTTCTCTATTTATAGGAGGGAAATCAATCACACTAGGAAAAAAAATCACCAATCCTACTTGGAAACAAATCAAGTAATAGACAACATAGCAAACCAAATCCCTTTGTGATTCGGTCCTTCCTTCTCCGTGGCGTTAGGTGCACGTCGCCAACACCCCCCCCCCCCCC